CTCTGAAGGCCCAAGAGTAAATAATCAACCAAGGACCAACTATGGCCGAATTTTCCAAATTGGGCCCAAGCCTGTCGAAATCGGCCTTATCCTAAAGCCCGATCCAATTATTCTAGTCCATAGTTATTCTTGGATAACCCATCAATAGTCCAAACATCTAGGCCCAACAGAAAAGGCCCGACTCAAAACCCAACACAATTAGGGATTTCACATGAAATGACGATTAAGGTTGAGTGTTCTCACTTGACCCATTAAGTCTATTATTCCACTAAGCCAACATACAATGAAATTGGCATAAGTCATAACTTCAGTCTATTGGTTCAAAGCGGGTCCCGACACTCCAAAACTAACACTTTCTAAAATTAGGGTTTTCAACCCAATCACAAGCCAATGAAGTCCAAGATCAAGCTATTGAGCGAATTAGGGCTCCACTAGGTCAGGTACCACCACTACCACCTCGGGTAGCAGTGTTCAGCAGCAGGCGGCGAAAGCCACCATTTCCAATGGTGGTTGTGGTGGTTCCTGCCCATAAATTGCATAAAAAAACTTCACACATGATATACACACACAAACAACCACCTCCTATGGTGGCTGGTGGCGGCAAAGGGGTGGCAGAAAACGACAATGGGTAGCAGCCACCACCTCACGTGGTAGTGGTGGGCTTTCCCTCGTTTTTCCGGCTAGATAATACACAAAAAACTCCAAAGAATACTATACCAGTGTATATATACACAAACACATAACGTCCGACCGCCTTCCAAGTGGCTGACGTTGCCATAATATAGCAGAAGTGGTAGCCAACAGGTGGCGGCAGCCAAGCCGTCATACACGACCTCGAACCACCGAAAAAAAACAATGGAGAAGAAGAATGTGTTGCGACCAGCTTACCCGGTGGCTCCGACGGCTCACGACCCATGCACGACGACCTAGTTCCATTTCGATTCGACAACTCATCGGGCGCCCATGACATCTCCGACAGCAGCCGTACGTTTGGATGGTGGAGTAGCTTTTCGGCGGCGCTAAGATGGCTTCCAAGGATGGTGGCGGCTGAAGATGCTACACATGTTGGTGGCGGCTGGAGTGTTGCGACTTAGGTTTACGGTTTAGGTGATCCATTAGAAGGGAAAAAGATGGAACCGGTTTATGCCCGTGTCCTCCTTCAAACATCAGAGCATTTTTACAACTTCAACCCCTCCTCGCAAGATTTATTTTCAAACTAAGCCCTACATTTACCCTTTAGCCCCTGATTCCATAAAATTCATTTCATATTAGGTCCAAAACTTACCAAACAGCCCCTACTCTACAAATTATTTTTCAACTGAAGTCCCTATATTACCATTCAGCCCCTTAGCCTCCAAAATCTCTTCAAATTAAGTCCCAATAATTTACCAATCAGTCCCTGCCTTCATAAAAATTTACAAACCACTCCGAAACTTACACTTTTAACCCTAAAGTTCTAAAATTGTGACAATGGACTCCTCGAGACCAACACCTTCCTATATTATTATTGATTTTAGGGCTGCTATTCATTCATTAATTTGTTTATTTATATATTTATTAAACAAGATGTTACATAAAAAATAATATCCCAGAATCCTCAAACATAGTCTCGAACATATGTGTACAATCAAGCCGGCAACTTCCCACGATCCTGAGAAGTACCTGAAACACATAACACACAACATGGTAAGCACGAAGCTTAGTGAGTTTCCCAAAATACCACATATACAAATAATAAGCCTCTCATGGCTATAACTCGGCATGGACCCTACAATATCATGCATCTCGGTGAAGACCCTCTAGTCTTACAGCTCGTTGTGGACCCTTCGGTCGTGTGTCTCAGTGAGGACCCTCCGGTCTCACAGTTCGGGTTGGATCCTCCGGTCCTATATATTAGTGAAGACCCTCCAGTCTCACAACTCGGTTAGGACTCTCCGGTCTGATCTTAGTAAAACACAGAATAACATAACATATATCACAAAGACAAAATGCATAATATTACATAACTCAATATAAGCACATAGTATAATTACCTTTAATAAGCAAATTGTAATAACCACTGGATATGCTTAGCTAACTCCTCCACTAAATCTCAAAAAGGTGAAAAGACCATTTTACCCCTCCATGGTCTCTATGGTCCACAGTTGACCAAACCCTAAAGTCAATGAAAGTCAATGCTCCAGTCAACAGTCCGTGTTGACTAAACTCGTCGAGTGCGTCCATGAAACTCGTCGAGTTCCTTCATTTTCTCAGGAATATCGGGAAAATCCAATCTCGTAGAGTTCAAGTCAACTAGCCGAGTTTTAGAGCGTGCAGTCCATAGAGGAAAAACTCTAGCCGACTCGTCGAGTTGGCTCATGCACTCGCCGAGTCCCCCTAACCAACTTCTCATTCAGACGATTCTAAGCAGAATTAAGGTCCCAAACTCTAGATCTAGCCTCACAAGGCTAAAATACCACGTAAAGTTGCAAGCTTTACATTCATGTTTGTCATCTAGGACTCGAAAATGCCAACATAAGCTCGATATAGGGTTAGATGCATGAAAGCTTGCCTCTAGCTTAATAAAGCTTGGATCTTTAGACTTATAAGACCTCCTACATTCCAGATCTGATGTTTCAATCTCATGACATGCTCAACTGACTCAATAATCAAAAGATGGATGGGAGAAAACCCTAAAACTCCCTAGAAAGACATGTAACAAAAGAAATGGTCAAGATGGTAGTTTTTTACCTCCAAACAGAAGTAAACATTGAAGAACACTGGATCCAGAAGTCCATACTTAATCAAATCCATGTTGCTCTCCAAATCTCCTTCCAAAAATGCACAAGAACACTCAAATTAGTCTCTCTCTCTCTCTCTCTCTCTCTCTCTCTCTCTCTTTCTCCCCCTCTCTCACACACACACACAAAGAGTGGAACTGGTCTAGGGTTTCTCACAGAGCTCTAAGGTGGCAAGGGAGGCGTATATGAAGGCTTAAGGTCCTTTAAATAGGACACAAACCTTGAAAATTAGGGTTTTCACTTATCACCTACTCGTCGAGTTGGGGTCCTCCAACTCGTCTAGTAGACTCTAAAAGATCATGCGCCATTAACTCCTTTACTCGGCGAGTTGGGGTATCCAAATCGTCGAGTTCCTCTGAAATAAATAATGTAAATAATTAAATCTTATACCTGAAAGTCGCGATGTTACAGGACACGTATGTGACAACAACCAAATAAATTCTTGATTTATTTCAGATAGAGAATATTAAAACCCTCATTGCATACATGCGGTATTTAGGCAATTAATCTACTTGCACAATCCAGTAGGAGCCAAGGTGCCTTCTGACATCATGTTAATGTTATATTTTCAATAGCGAATTAATGGAAAAACCTTTTTCTTTAGTTTGTCCTTACCAAAAATTTGACAATGAGAGTATATACTTGTTCGGGAATACCCATAAAGAAAATGTGAACAATTGGCTCAATGGAAAGAAGCCAAGTATGATAATCTGCGCGCGACTTTGCCGAGTCAGTTACATAACTTCTATGTGAACACGTGTCAAGTCAGTTACATAACTTCTATGTGGACACGTGCATTATGAAGCGGTATGAAGTTAATGCATGCATTTATGTTGCATTTATAAGCGTGGCTAAGAAAGGAAATGTGCATCGCGATCTTGGCTTCTCTTCAGAGGAGGATAGTCGGAATCTTCATCTAGTAAGTGGTTTGATCTTTCAAATACCATGTTTCATTTTTAGTAGGGCATACTTAATTGGTATCCAACATGTCCCAATATTCTGATTCGTTAATCAAACTAATTGTTTACTCGATAAAAGTTGAATTTTGAGTAGAAATGATGATGATTAGCGAAATGTGATCGCTTGGTTCTTGACTCAGTTGGGTTCATAAAGTAGAATATGTGTATGCTTGATCTCTATGTTTGCAACTCAATATGCTTTTCAATTTTGGAATTTCTTGATTTGGCCGAAAATTGACGATGATCATTGGGGGGAGGGAAAAGGGGGTGGGGGGGATCATATATGTCATTATTGAATCACTTGGGGTTCTTGAATTATCAAATCCCCTTGTTAATTTGGAAAAAACATCTTGTTGAAATCGTAATTATTAGTGGAATTGGAAATTCAAGTTTCACGATGACAAAAACATGCGATTTTCGCACCCGATATCCTTAATTGAATTATGATATAGTGACGATCGTCTATGATGGTAATATGTTTTCTCTTTTATTTATTTTTTTCTCATATTGCATTTTTAGTGAAATTGAAGTTACTCGGATTTGAGTCCCCAAAGTATAAAATGCATATTTATGTAGGCAAGTCTCAAATCCCCTTGTTAATTTGGAAAAACATCTTGTTGAAAATCGTAATCATTAGTGGAATCGGAAATTCAAGTTTCACGATGACAAAAACATGCGATTTTCGCACCCGATATCCTTAATTGAATTATGATATAGTGACGATTGTCTATGATGGTAATATGTTTTCTCTTTTATTTTTTTTTCTCATATTGCATTTCTAGTGAAATTGAAGTTACTCGGATTTGAGTCCCCAAAGTATAAAATGCATATTTATGTAGGCAAGTCTCAAATTTTTTTTTTTTTTTTTTTTTTTTTTTTTTTTTTTTTTATCAAATTATGTTCAACTATCATATATTTTTCCCATTTTATACATCAAAATTGGTTTTAGACATGAATTATACATCCATGTTTTAATTTATTGCTAATCCTTCCTCAATTTATGCATCCATAAATTAGTAAAAATTCTGTAACAAAATAAAAGATTGTTTTATTAAATTGGTGAAAATAAATTCCATTGCATAAATTAGTAAAAATACTAAACACGGTTGCATAAACATGCAATCAACCCTATTAACATAATTTCTTTTTCTCCAGAGGGTGCACTAAAACATCAACTTTATTCCAGCTTCTCTGCCCATGTCATATTGTCATGCATACAAATATTAAAATATTGATAAAAATATTCATTCATGTATTGCAGATGAAATTCTGGTTCTCTTCAATGGAGGAGCTATACAGTAAGCTAAAGCGTGTTTCCAATGGTACTTGGGAAGATGTGGAGTCTGACATGGGAGCCTTCGAGAACATAATGATCAGACTTCCCGTTAAAAACATATTAATCTTCAAATCCATCTCAAAACTCTGGTACGATGTCATGTCCACAAACTATTTCATCAGCTTACACCATCGTTTGTCCAAAAAAAACACCAAATTTTTGGCCTTCTATGATCCCGGTTTGCTGCAAGACGGAATTGTTCGTGGAATCCATCTGATGGAATCCAACGGGACTTACACTGAATCATACACAAACATTCCCGGTTTTAGAAATTTCAATCACCCGCTTTTAATCTCTTCTTTCAATGGTCTAATTTGCTGCATAAGTAACGTGAGAACATACCGGATGTTTCATGATATAGAGTTACGCATCTGCAACCCTGCCACTCGTGAAGTCGTGATCCTCCCTAACAGCCACATGTCTGTCTACATGCCCGTTTTCGGGGTTTTATATTCGACCAGATACCATATATACAAAATTTTCAAGTTTTTCGGTGATCCGATTCATTTTGAAATATATTATTCACAATGTGAAGTTTATTCTTCGGAAACGGGAAAATGGGAACTACTTGGAAGAGTTCCTAAACATCCAGTAATGAAACCTATGCGTACATTGGCCTCAAATCATGTCTGCATAAACGAAAAGTTATATTGGTTTGTTGCGTATGACGATGAGTTTGATATCCCTTCTTCGATTCTTATGGTTGATATGAATTGTAATTTTAAGGAAATCCCACTTCCAGCCGAAGCCGAAGTCTTGGTCTTGATCGAGTTACTTGGTCGGCTTTGTTTTCTGGATTGGATCGATGGGGATTTTTATATATGGCTTTATGATGAGAAGAAAGGGAGTTGGGATTTGGAGGATATACCCCCATTTCCCGGTGATTGGTTGGAAGTTGATCACTTTGATTCGGTTGTTGCGCATAAATATGAGATATTGTTTGTTTATAGAGATGTTACAGGTTTGCGACATGAGATTGTGTATGATGTGCTCTATGAGACGTGGAAAGATTTCCAAATAGCTGAGGATGATAGATATAAACCAATTGCCGTGTTTCCATTCTTCGAAACTCTATTGCCATGTAGTAAGTCTCGTGCTTTTGGTGTTAAATGTAAGAAATAATGACTTACTTTAGTTTGTTTGTTTATTATAACATCTTTTATCATCCTTTGGAAAATCTACCTGATTATAGCTAGTAGTGTTACTGAAAGAAAAACCAATATTACCGTTGCAGTTGAATAGATTTTTCAAAGTGTAATGCGTTTCATAGGAATAAAATTAAAAGTAGAGAAATATTTTTGGGTGGATTTTCAAAGTATAATGTTGTAATAAGAACAGATAAATGAAAGTATAATAGTGTTTTATGCATTCAACCCTTTTATTTATGATCATGTACTACTAGAAAGTGTTTTAAAGAGTCTATATTTCAGTTCCTGACCTTTTTATTGGTACATTGACTGATTGACAGATAGCCACCGGCAATGAAGAACAAAAAGGCAAATACTTGTTAGTTGTTACACCATGGTAATGTTTAAATTACAAAAACATAATTTAATTTTAATTTTAAAAGATTTTTCTTCCAAACATTGCTTTGTTAGACATGATATGAGTTTTTCTTGGTTGCAGATCCGCAGGAAGGAAGGTTACTGGCGGCAGTGGTGGCGGTTTTCTTAAACTGTGTGTGAACTTTGGTTATGTTTTCTTAAACTGTGTGTGAACTCTGGTTATGCATCTGTCGTTTGCTGTGTTTGAACTTCTTTAACTATGTGTCTTTTTAGTCTGCTCGTGTTGCAATCTAGACCTAATCGAAAGCATACTTTACCAAATAATCGTGAATCAATCACATTTTCATCCTCCTAGCTATAGTGTCGATTTCTAAAGGAAAAAACCGAAAACCGCAATCTAATTGGGAAGTTTTTAGTAACCTAACGATAACAGGGAAAAGCCACAGGAAACACTTAAGCGATTACCACCGATAGTAGCGAAGATATTGTGATATCGAGAGTCGATGAAGTTGAAAACGACTGCGTAAATTGGGCGCTTGCCTTCCTGTTGGTGACACCATTGAAACTAGGGCTGACAATTCTCGACACGACCCGCGACACGACATGAAATGAATGGGTTTGTGTTGAGTTTTTCAACCCGCCAACCCGTTAATCCGCCAACACGCCAACTCGTTTATTAAATGGGTCATATATGAGTTTCTAAAAAAATTAACGGGTTGACCGCCAACCAGTTTATATTTTTAATAAAAAAATTATTTTATTTTTAAATGTATTTAGGTATTCAGTATTAATATTTAATAAATATTATATAATATATACCATTGATTCATAAACCATTTAACTATTTTGGCAATTTGACTCGTGGTGGATGACCTAAGGTCGTAAGTCGTAACCAATAAACGCTAAATCTGTAACCATTTTGCCCATTTTCCCTAAATAATAATCTCAAAATCAAATCGTGTATGAGCGTATCTCCCTCTTCCATACTTCCAGTCTTTCGATCTCCCACAATCCCACTCTCCCCTTTGTTACTATGTGATTGAAATCAGGTATCGAAATGGTGTTGGAAACTAAACAGACACATAGTTAAATCGAACACGACACGATTGTCAGACCTAATTGAAACTGCACTACTACAACGGAGCGAGCAACAAAGAGGAAAAAATCAACCGTGCTCGTTAAAACGTTGTCTGAGGTAGACAAAATAGAAAATATCCCTATATTTATCTTCTGTTTCGAAATACTCCTATTATCCTTAAAAAAATAAAAATAAACATACAACAATACCCATATCCATACCACAAATAGAATAAGGAAAGTTAGATAGCCTTGCTTCCAAATCCATTGAAGACCTCCAACAAGAAAAAATTGCGCCAAAAAAAAGTCATCCGTTAGACAAAAAAAGGATGATCAAGATACATTTTGGCATTATTGTAAATAAATGAGAAAGTAAATGAATAGGGGTACTGAAACAAAATGGAATTAGGGGTATTTTAGGGATATAGACATTGACCTCGTTTAGAGAACGTCAATCCAGACACCTCGTTTTGAGTTTTGATGATGATACCTTATGATGGATGATTCCTCTGTAAACCCTTACATGATTGCCATGGAGTTCGTCAATCTCCCCTAGAAAACACATCACTACCATCACCTCCTGTAAGACCTACACCATCACGATTGTCTCCTATAAATCCACGATCTCTTCTCGTTTCTCCCTACATCGGTATACTTATCTTTCAGTCAAAGATCTTCCACATTAGCCTCCCTCCCTCCCCGTCGACCATCAACAATTCATCATTAATGACACGGTTAGGGTAATTTATTTTGCTCATTGAATTTTTCTAGTTTTTTTTTCCTAAGATCCAAAAATGACAACTAGGGCATATATCAGGTTTCAAAATTTTGAATTCTCTACCTTGCATTCTGCATATATCACGTTTCAATTGATCAATTTCCTTCTATGGATCAAATGATCTAATCCATGCCTAAGTTTCGTTCATCTCATCGAATGGAAAAATTCTACACTCAAGGTTCGGATATGGTTTCCGTAACGCCCGTAGATCTGGGCTAGTCATATTAGAGACGTTAAGCGTCGAAAATGACTTTCTGATGTAAGATTATTAAGGAGAAATCTTAACTAAGTTGTAGTAGTCGTGACAAGGATTACAAATATATAAAGAATCTAGTAATCTGAGTCATAACGAAGAAGTTATGACCTGTTGAAATTTTGCGACAGAACCGGCACGACACAGTGCGACGTAAATAGTGAATTTGCAATAGAGCGATATTTGGCCTTAGCGAGCTAAACGAAAGTGGTAGAGTATGTTAAACTGAGAGCGTGCATAAAAAGAATGTCCAAATCTGACTTCGTACGAGGAAGTTATGATTTTTCTAAGTTTCAGTTTAACGGTATTCAGCCCAAAGTTCGAATATGAGATCGACTGGTTCTAGTCGAAACAATCTAAACGAGAATCGAAGATATCATCGATAGTAGTGCAACAGAAGAAAGACAGACACAAACAGACGTCAGATAAAGAAGTTATGAATTTCTAACGAAGTTTTCCAGTCCCGGCCTACTAAAAATAATATAATAAAAATAAAGTCAAAACTTGCCGACAGAGTCTAAACGAGAGTTGTAAAGCATAATCTCACTTTCATGTGGATATAAAGAACGTCGAAAATGGAGCTCGTATGTGAAAGATATGAATTTCTGAAGTACGAGGCACGCTTAAGAAAGGGGGAATGCCATACGTTCAAATGGGGAACGCCCCGCATTCACAGCCCAGAGCCTGTCCTGTCGCATGTCAAGTCCGAAGTTTGTAAGCCATGATGCACAGTGGAACGCGCTGCGTTCGTCCAAGGAACGCACCGCGTTCATTCAGGGAACGCGCTGCGTTCGAGACCAGATTCACCCTATAAATAGATCACATGGGCAGCTGATTTTGGTTGCCAAATTTCTTTTCTCTTACCCGTATTACCTCGTTTTATGTGCAAGCTATATCCCCAAAGCCCCAATATCAATCCCAACACCCGAAGCAAGTCCCGAAGCCCCGAAGATCCCGAGAAGTAAAGTTTCTGAGCAGAAACTCTGCCCGCGAGAGGCCCAGTTTTCAAGGAAGCATCCTGGTTTCACCGAAGAATTCTACATTTAGAGCCATAGTGCTGTTCGATCATCGTATTATCATGTGAGTGTGTAGTTACTTTCTTCTAACACATAGATATGAAATATTTGCTATAAAGTACGTGTTATGTGTTTATACATTGTTTGTTTACTTGAGATGGATGTTGAAATAATGTTTTATATAGGTTTTAAAAGATTTAAAATGTATATGTTTTGCATCAACAAATATGTTAGGTAGAATATGGGTAGATGAAATAGTTGATGTGAGATGAAATAATAAGTATTTTTGAACTTAATGTGTTCATTAGGTATTTTTGAACTCTATGTGTTCACTTGGTGTTTTTGAACTCAATGTGTTCATTAAGTATTTTGAACTCTATGTGTTCACTTGGTGTTTGAACTCAACGTGTTCATTAAGTATATTTGAACTAAGTGTTCACTAGATGTTTTGAACTTATGTGTTCATCAAGTATTTTCGAACTGAGTGTTTAATAGATGTTTTGAGCTATGTGTTTATCAGGTCTTTTCGAACTATGTGTTCATTAGAGGATTGTGTTCATTAAATATTTTTGAACTAGATGTGTTCACTTGGTTTTGTTGAACTGAGTGTGTTCACTAAGTGTTTTAGAACTAAGTATTCACCAGATGTTTTTGAATTAAGTGTTCACTAGGAGTGTTTGAACTAGGTGTTCGTTAAGTATGTTGAATGAAGTGTTTACTAGTTGTAATTTGAGGACCTGGGTAGTGGTGGACTTGTGTCAATTCCTTAGGTCAATCATTAGGAATTAAATGAATAAAGGATAGTTGGTTATCAGGAAACATTGAGTTCTCAACCAATCTCATCCTATATATATATATATATATATATATATATATATATATATATATATATATATATATATATATATATATATATATATAGGTGAGATCCGTTGAGAACTCATAGTTTCCCGAGAACTCGAGAACTAAATGTGGAGCGTTAGATCAAATTTAATTTATTAAGGGCATGATCGTTATCTTACCAATATTATTTAATGTTTGATTTTTTGTGTTATTGGAAATATTAATAAAACTGTCTACAAATTAACATAATAAATCAAATTTTCGGATTTTTAATTAATAGTTTATTCTTAAGGTAAATCCTTAAGAAATAAAAGAGATAATGAGGATGGGTAATTTGGATTGATTAATTGATGATTGAATATAATAATTATATTATTGTGGGTCGAAAACCCTATATGCTCACCAGGCTTCCAAGACTGACCCACTTAGTTTTCTTTGCATTGCAGGTAATGGCACAAGAGTATAAGTTGGTTGACTTGACGAGAGATTTTGGATTATAGACCGGTAGTTGTAAATAACTGTTGTAAGGTTAAATTGTTTTGTTTATGCTTTTTGGTCTGTATCGGAACATGACATCCGAGGTTTTATTATTTAATGAAAAGTACATTCTCTCTGAGAAATGTTTTGATAAAGTTTTATCATATTTTGATTGAGAAAAATTCCGCAACTGTTTTCTTTAAAATATTACTTTGATTTTAAACAAAGCATAAACAAATCGGTCCTTTCTGGCCATGAAATTGGGGATGTCACAGTTTTCATGCCATGTGCTTTGACACTTGGTTCAGATCTCTCTCCTCCTGTCCGTCTTGTTG